GACGTGGTTTCCCATCTGTGTGAGCAACTTTGCGGGCAGAAGAGTGTTCTTTGTCAAGGTGAGTCTTTTTGTGCTGTAAGATGCCAATATTGTGGCTGAAACGTGTCTATTAATGTCAAATAACTTGTGTTTGTCGAATTTTTATTTAAATTTTTACTTCCCGAGCGTAAGCAACGTTTCATGACCCCTATAGTAGGAAAAAATAGGTCCCCGTTTCCGTTTGTCACTAACAATTTGATGACATCATTGCAAAATTTTGTCTAATAAACACCATTTAAAGTGTATAAAATAACATAGTCCTATATTTGTGGTTTATCAATCCGCCTTGAGTTTTTCGCCTCGACATTCAAACTGAATAACAAGAACCTTTATACTAATATAAGCGGATCCATGCCCGGTGGTTTATCGGTTAGTGTCCTGTTCTCAAGGTCGTGAGTGCAATTACCTTATCCGGAATTTTTTTCTTACACTGCGACTAGTATTTTCTACATTTTTTAACTCATGTGGATTATCACAAAAAATTAATAATACAATTTTTCGAATAAAAATGGATTTGTTCGATTGTACTTCAGGGGCGACGGAACTTCTGTCTAAAGAACCTTTAAACAATTTTTTACATCGTTTATGTACAATATTAAAGTTTGTATTTGTAGGCTTTGAAAAAATTATTTTTATAATATGTAATATATTTAGTTACTGAACAGAATTTTTGGAATTGTTTTGGACATAATGTAATTACTGGAATTTTAAGACATTCATGAGAATTCTTTCGGAATTCACAAGAATTATTTACTAGGAAGTATCAGTTTTATTTTTCTTCTTCATCATCATCATCTTCTTCTTCTTCTTCTTCTTCTTTTTATTACTTTTATTATTAACTGATGATTGTCAGTGGTAAAAAAAAATTAACAAAATTTCTTACATCGTTTTTGTGAAATATTAAATTTGGAGAGTGTATGCCTTGAGGAAACTACATATTTTTGGAATTTCGTATTTCTTTAGTGTACAGAATTTTGAAACTGTTTTGCATACACTAATATACAGGATGAGTCATCAAGCACGCGTTTTTTGTTATTTCCGATTGACCAGTTCTTAACCTTTGTAACCAGATTACATATTCTAATATTCTAAAATTTTTTAGCAATAGAAGAGTTTACAAAAAAATACAGTGGAGTAATTTTTAAAATCTGGGTGACAATATTTTGTGGAGAGAAAATAAAGGTATGTGATTTGCTGTGGTGTAAATAAAATTGACTCAATATACAGAGTGTTTACTAATATCTATCGATAATTCAGTTTTTTCAAACAGAACATCTTGTATTTTATTACCGTATCTTGTTCTGTTTCTTGTTCTCTTCCTTTTTTTTTTTGTTAAGTATTATATATATATTTGAAGTTTTTACCTTTCTCTGGAGACACCCTCTACATATTAAAAGAAACAACAGAAAATAAGAGTACCAGGGAATAATAAAATAAATGCAATGTTTTATTTGAAAAAACAGAAATACAGTTAATTGAAAAGTGCACTGTTTTTGAATTATTTATAACCACTCTGTATATCAAAATTTAATTGATAGCAGATCTAAATAACGTTGTTGAGATTTTTTTCTACCCTTGCCTTGCTTAAATTAATGATAAAAAAATGGAATAACGTGTAATTTCAAAAATAAACTATTTATAAAACCAAAAAAAGGCTAATGAGAATTTATTAAAATATATGGGGTGTTTTATTAAAAAAAAACCTAAGTTGTGTGCTATGTATCAAAAAGTACTCTGTATTCTATTAACGTATGTTGTGGTTTTTTGTTCTCTTTCTTTTTTGTTAGTATAGGATTTATTTAAAGTTGATAATTTTCCGATTTTTTACTTTTTTGAGAGACACTCCCCCACATTGAAAAGAAAAAGAAAATAGAGCAAGAAGTAGCAGTAGTAAAATACAGGGTGTTTTATTTGAAACACTTGAAATACAGATATTTGAGAAGTGCAACGTTTTTGAATTATTTATAAACACTTTATATATTAAAATTTGATTTAATTGGTAGCAGATTTTAAAAATAACATTGTTAAGTTTTTTTTTAGCTAAAAAAATTAAAAAAAATGAAATAACCTCACAACGACGTATCCTAATTTCAAAATAAATTATGTTAAAAAGTAAAAATGAAGCTAATGAAAATTTATTAAAATATACAGAGTGTTTTATTTAAAAAAACTAAGTTGTATGCTATGGCTCAAAAACAGAATATGTACTCGTATTTTATTACCGTATCTTGTCGTTTTTTTGTTTCTTTTTTGTTGAGTACTAGATATATTTAAAGTTGATAATTATTGCGATTTCTTACTTTTCACCCCCACATATTAAAAGAAAGAGGACAGAAAAACAGATATTTGAAAAGTGCACTGTTTTTGAATTATTTATAAGTAAGTACTCTGTATAAATTTAATTGATAGCAGATCTTAAAAATAACACTGTTGAGATTTATTTTGATCTTTGCACTGCTAAAACAAATAATAAAAAAATGGATAACGTGTCAATATCGTTTCCTAGTTTCAAAAATAAACTATTTATAAAGCCAAAAAAAACTAATGAGAGTTTGTTAAAATTTATGGGGTGTTTTATTTAAAAAAAAGTTGTGTGCTGTGTATCAAAAACTACTCTGTAATCTATTAGCGTATGTTGCGGTTTTTTGTTCTCTTTCTTTTTTGTTAAGTATTTCATTTATTTAAAGTTGATAATTTTTGCAGTTTTTCACTTTTTTGAGATTTTGAGACACACTCCCACATATTGAAAAGAAAAAGAACAGCAAATAGAGTAAGAGGTAGTAATAAATACAGGGTGTTGTATTTGAAAAAACTGAAATACAGGTAGATACTTGAGAAGTGCAACGTTTTTGAATTATTTATAACCACTCTTTATATTAAAATTTGATTTAATTGGTAGCAGATCTGAAACATAACCTTGTTGAGATTTTTTTTATGAACGCTTGCACTGCTAAAAAAATTAAAAAAAAACGGAATAACCCGACAACGACGTATCCTAATTTCAAAATAAACTATGTTTAAAAATCCAAAAAGAAGCTAGTGAAAATTTATTAAAATATGCAGGGTGTTTATTTATTTAAAAAAACTAAGATGTGTGCTGTGCCTCAAAAATAAAATACTCTGCATTTTATTACCGTATCTTGTCGTTTTTTTTTCTCTTTCTTTTTTGTTGAGTATTAGATTTATTTAAAGTTTGTAATTATTGCAATTTTTACCTTTTTGAGAGACGCCACCACATATTGAAAAGGAAAAGAACAAGAAGTAGAGTAAGAGGCAATAATGAAATAAATACAGGGTGTTTTATTTGAAAAAACTGAAATACGGATGTTTGAAAAGTACAACGTTTTTCAATTTTTTATAAATACTGTGTATATTAAAATTGGAGTGATTTATTTAATTAATAGCAGATCTTAAAAATAACATTACCGAGATTTTATAAACTATGTTTATAAAGCCAAGAAAGAGGCTAATGAGAACGTGTATAAATATACAGGGTATTTTATTAAAAAAAACAAAGATTTGTGCGATGCCTCAAAAACAAAACACTCGGTATTTCATTGTAGTATTTTCGTCTGTTTGTTGTTCTCTTTCTTTTTTGTTAAGTATTATATATAAAGTTGACAATTATTGCGATTTTTAATCTTTTTGAAACATACATTGAAAAAAAAAAAAAAATAGAAAATAGAGCAAGAGACAGTAAAAAATAAATATATGGTGTTTTCTTTATTGAAAAACAGTTATTTGAAAAATAGCTTTTTAGAATTTTTGGAAAACACTCTGTATAATTAAAATTTGATTTAATTGATAGCTGACCTTAAAAATAACATTATTGAGATTTTTTTGAGAATCCTTGTACTAATAAAATAAATTTAAAAAAATGGCATAACGTGGTAACGTCTCATCTTAATTTCAAAATTAAACTATGTTTATAAAGCCAAGAAACAGACTAATGATAATGTGTATAAATATATAGGGTGTTTTATAAAAAAAAACGAATGCCTTTGTACAGTCGAAAATATTTTTAACGTGGGCTACTCAAAGAACTTTTATCTCTAATAAATAATTAATGAGTTATCGAGGACCGTACGCCTAGTGACTCACCCTGTATATTAAAAATAATTGCAAGTATTTCTGATATACTAAAATTTTATGCAATTCATCAGAATTCTTTCAGAACGCCGCCGTTTTTTTGGACACAATTTTGTTTTCCATCCTCTAGAGTCAAAAACTTTTCCAAATTTGTTCAAATGCACATAACATTTTGTGGTCTAGAGTATAGTCTGAATAATAATGATAATTATTGGATTTATCTTCTATCTTATTACATACCTTAGTAATTTTTGGTAATTTTAACAGCAGTGGGTTGGTACTACTTCTTTCATATTAAATTATATAAATTTTGTCAACAATAGTTTGATATGGACGGCAAAACGGTTATAATGAGGTCCTTTAAAATGTAAAAGACCGAAAAAAGGTACAGGGTGTTTATAAAAGATTGTATATCAAGGTTGGTTTTGGAAAATCTGTCATCATCAATCATGAATAAGAATGTTATGAGTATCACATATGTACTTTGGTTGTATTCAGTCGCATTTTCCTACAAGAAATGTCAAAATGACCTCAAGCAAACATAATAACAAAGAAAGCCAATTTGCTGTACGGCATTTTATAATCACCTTGTATATAGTGTTTGTTGTTTTGTTTTTACCTTTAATTTTCTGAGATTTCTAGATATTTTTAGAATTTTTAAACTACAAGACTTTTTTTGAAAATCACATATCAAAGATTTAATTTCAAGTAATATTTCAATTCAACAATTTTCGTAGCCAAAAAGTTACAACAAAAAAATGAACAAAGATATTGCCACCGAACTTTCCTCGCTTCCGAAACACAGCCACAATTGCAACTGATTCCATGTCAAATTAAATCTAGAAAACTTTTTTTTTCATTTCGACACTGACCTTTCCGTATTTGTGGCAAGAGGTGCTGGTGTTGGCGCTCCAGTGGTCGGTTTCCAGTCGAGCCCTCTCCAGAACTCCCGTCAGACTATCGATTCTGGACCATTCGCGCACGTCATGGTCGTGAAAGGGGGGCACTGGGCCTGTGCCTGGGGTTGCTGCCACCACTTCCATCTCAATTTGGACAAGGCGTCTTATCAAATGCTATTGACATTGACCTGGAACAAAAAGCAAAAATAAGTTCTGCTTGACGAGATCCTTAATTGATATCGGATTGTGAAGGATTTATGTGGCGTGCCAGATCTGTTAAAGTCGACGCCTATGTTCTATTGTCTGCGCGGCGGAATTAAAACTCTGTAGAAAGGGATAATAAATTGCTTAAGTTTGTGCTTCATTACAACAAATAAACCGGAACCGCTTACTCATACCGGAGAAAGAATAGTACTACTGGAGTACCGAGGAGATTTCAATGCTGGTGTGTGTACGTAGCCTTGGGTCGAAATAGATTAAAAATGACAAATAACATGTTTTGGCGGTAATTATTTTCTCGAAGATAACGGATCGGTTTTCGCAATGACTAACGTACGACTTCGCGGAATTTATGTTAACAACGTGGTTTCTCATTTAAGTGAAAAAAGGAAAAATTGAGTATTTTATTGCTGGCCATTCTTTATTGATATAAAGACACCGTGAAGCTTGTTGTTTATGACATTGTTGATACCGAAAAAGCCATGAAATAAATACATGAAAATACGTATTTTTACATGACGTGTGGAGGTTTTCGTCGTGGGTGTTCACGTAGTACTGAAAGAAAAATTATGGACAATGTACAAAAGCCTATTTATTCACACTAGGAAATGTTTACGTGTTCGCATTTTTTAAAGTAAGTTAGAGCTAAACAAACACTTTATTATCTGTTTAGCAGATCTGATGCTCCAATTAACATCTAATCTTTACAAGAACGAAGCAAACAACAATGGAACCACTTAAACATTTTGTTTTGCCTCTTATTAAGAAGAGCAGAAGATTTAAAATCGTCCAGCAGAAGCAAAAAAGAAGGTATAGAAGAAGCTAATGACAAGATTTCGACAAGAAGGATGGAAAATAGGAATCGGAAGATGTCGAAAATTATGGTCAATTTACACATATTCATCACGCAGATAGGTTCTAACTTAGTGCTGAAAGTGGACATAAAGTCAAGGATTCAAGATTAATGTTAAGCCTCGACTTTTAATTTTTTTGGCTTTTAAACTTTGTTGGTAATGGCGTAATTAAAAATGGGAGCACAAATTATTTTACGTAAGATCATAATTTAGAATTTTGACTTCCGGTAAAAGCAGTACACCTTTTAGAGTTTGTGTTTCTTTAAAATCCGTTCAACTTGAAATTCACTTTGAAGCGTCAAGATTTTAAATCTACATTTTCAAAATGATCACAAGATTTTGAATTTTAAGCTGTTATATTTGTAGAAGGAAATATCGATTTTGTGATTAGGCTATGCCCCATAATTGCAAAATCCATATTTCCTTGCAAAAATGTACCATTTAACCATGTTTTAAGTTTCTTGTTGTGAAAAGATGACTGTATATTAAGAAGAAAAGGAAAAATATAAGCCCCGCCCACCCACCCTCTCTCAATTCTGATGATTTCTTTATTCGTCGTGAGTCAAGAGGGCGGATCTTAACTGCAAAATCCTTATTTCTCCACGAGAAATTAAAATCAAGTTTTTGAGTATCGTCTTGGTCAAAGAATACTATGTATATTAAGAAAAAATTAAAGCCCCACCCATACTTGCCCTGAACTAAATATGTAATAATGAAGTTTTCGTTCATTGCCAGACCTAGGGGTGGAGGTTAATTGCAAAATCCAACAAAAATTTACCGTTTGAAACGTTTTTTAAGTTTCTAAGAATAAAAAAATCATCACAAGTGAGATGGGGTGAGTGGGCGGGGTAAATATTTTGCCTTTTTTCTTAATGGACATATTATTCTTTGAACAACACCAGACTCAAAAACATGTTTTTAATTTCCTGTAAAGAAATAAGAATTTTGCAGTTAAGCTCCGCCCCCTTTGTTCTCGGCGAATAAAAAAAAATCATCACAATTGAGATAGGGCGGGTGGGCGGGCATTCATTTTGCCTTTTCGTTTTAATATCTTTAGACTTCTTTCCCCAACATAAAACTTAAAACATGTTCAAAATGCAAAATTTGTAGAAGGAAATATCGATTTTGTGATTAGGCTCCGCCCCATAATTGCAAAATCCATATTTCCTTGCAAAAATGTACCATTTAACTGTGTTTTAAGTTTCTTGTTGTGGAAAGATGATTATGTATATTAAGAAGAAAAGGAAAAATATAAGCCCCACCCACCCACCCTGTCTCAATTCTGATAAGTTTTTTATTCGTCGTGAGTCAAGGGGGCGGAGCTCAACTGCAAAATCCTTATTTCTCCACGAGAAATTAAAACCATGTTTTTGAGTATCGTGTTGGTCAAAGAATACTAGGTATATTAAGAAAAAACTAAAGCCCCACCCATACCTGTCCTGATCTAAATATGTAGTAATGAAGTTTTCGTCCGTTGCCAGACCTAGGGATGGAAGTTAATCGCAAAATCCAACAAAAATTTACCATTTTAAACGTTTTTTAAGTTTCTAAGAATAAAGAAATCATCACAAGTGAGATGGGGTGGGTGGGCGGGGTAAACATTTTGCCTTTTTTCTTAATGGACATATTATTCTTTGAACAACACGAGACTCAACAACATCTTTTTAATTTCTTGTAAAGAAATAAGAATTTTGCAGTTAAGCTCCGCCTCCTTTGTTCTCGGCGATTAAAAAAAATCATCACAATTGAGATAGGGCGGGTGGGCGGGCATTCATTTTGCCTTTTCATTTTAATATGTGTAGACTTCTTTCCCCAACAAGAAATATAAACATGTTTAAAATAGCAAATTTGTAGAAGGAAATATTGATTTTGTAATTAGGCTCCGCCCCATAATTGCAAAATCCACATTTCCTAGCAAAAATGTACCATTTTAACCATGTTTTAAGTTTCTTGTTCTGAAGAGATTGCTATGTATCTTAAGAGAAAAAGGCAAAATAAATTCGAAAAAACAAAAATAATTTCGGAAAAGAAATGATACTTGTAAATAACTGAATAAAGGATTAAAAAAACGACGAAATCTTGGAACTATCACTTTTATAAATGTTGTTACGTGATTGATTAATTAATGCAACAATTTCTTTTCCGTTTGACTTTATGAACAAGTATGTTACATTAGAGTCTAAAGCTGAGGTGTATTTAAATGGCAAGTGCAACTTCCAGTTCAAAAAACTAAAAAATATTTAAATTGCTATCTTAACGGTCTGATATCGTTTTCCGAATCTAGTCCAGTCAAATAATTCTAGTGTAATAAAAATAGCATTCGAGCCATCGAAACGTCACATTATGACCATGTTGTCCTAGAGGTGTAACTTAGTATAGTAATTTGACAAAAATGTTCATGTGTTGGAAACCGGTCACTATTGTTATTATTTAAACTACTCACACATGGAACCAAGCCTTTGGCCTCTTGTAGAAAAGTCATGTAAGATTAAATAATCTTTCGCAACGATCGCTCTATTTTGCGCAATTTATAGTGTGATGAACACGGTCCATAATCACCCACCAAATGTGAGAAAATTGCACCGCCAGCGCACCTCCAACGTACTAAATCCGGACGATATGGTGGCACGATTCGTCAACGTCTCTCTAAATGTTTATTTACGTCACTTTACGAGATGGCGGTATTGTTTTGTTTGCAGATAGTGGCACAGACTAGATGTTATCACATGAAAGCACCTGTTGAGTAACACTTTTACACACGCTCTGTGCGTGGATTAAAATTCAATTATATGACTAAATATGATTTAATGGAGCTCTGAGAAACACAGGCAAACTAAATTTTCGGTGTACAGACAGCTGGGCATAAAATCCCACATGTGATCTAAATATGGTCAAGACAACTTTTTGCTGGCACGTTGCGTTCCTTTATCCAACAATATACTCTTCTAACGAAAGCAGGTGTATATGTTAAATTTCGCCCGCGGCGCGCATATTTTAAATTAATCGTAATTTTTCGCGCCACGGGTTTGATTTATGGGAGGGCTGGGATGGGGAATGCGTTCGGTGGATGGGTGTTGGGGTTAACCTCATTGACCTCGTGTCAAGTACTCCGGGAAAACGCGATTTAATGGCCGGCTTTGTCTGTTCAAACAGACACGCCTCTTGAGGAAAATTGGTGATTTTGAACCGCAAGCTCGGATTTGTGTTAGTCATGGCGACCTTTGCGCCAACAGGAAGAACAGCTGAAATAATGACAGTTCAGGTCACAGTATTGTTGTGAACTTTACATGTACCTAACTGTTTCTCAATTACCTACCACAACTAATTAACTCCCCTGCCTACATGATGCACAAGAAAAATCGACAGGCCAATACAAAGGTCGACGCCACGAGGATCCACCAATAAGAACTCCGGTGGAGAAAAAAGTCAGTCAAGGATGCTCGTTTAATAATTATACCTCCACATATATTTTATTGGCGCATTTTTTCTTCGTCGCCCCGAGTGCTCAGTTAAGATCAGAAATAAACCGCAAGGAGGCACCCCTATCCATATAAATTACTCGTAAACGCGCATGTTCTCAAGATCGTGAAACTCGCTTTGGGCATCCGCTGCATTTTTCGAAAAAAAGGACACAACCTATTAAAATCCTTTCTCGTTTGTTAGCAGTCTTTTTCCATCTCGAATTATTAAATTGTTGCATAAAATCGAGACCAGAAACGGCAAATGTTGTTTTAATGATGCAATTACCGCACGGCAGATGGCTTTATCTTTTTTCATCGCCAATTAGTTTCCTTTAATTAAGTGCAAATGTAATAAAATCGGTGAATTATACCGCAGGGGTGTTGTGGGCGACGGGTTTTCGGAAAAATCGACTTAGAAGTGGCCATTCCAGACGTGTCGTTCACCCAAAACACGGGTCCGTGTTTTTCACCCAGGGCGCGACTTCGGGACCTCTTCTGTACATGACTCGGCAGAAGCGAGAATCCGAAACCGCCCGACGGCAAAAAATAAATAATTACTGTGTACGAAAAAACAATGGATATCATCACTCACTTAAACGTGATGGATTTTTCGCTGATGAGGCCATTCGCGGCCCGAAGAATAATAATCTATTT